CGAGATAGTGAGGAAAAGTATGTGCGCTCCTTGCTGTGTTGGGATTTTGGTAGCCAGGGAGGGGCCGCAGGAGCGGCTCCTGTGAGAAGCTGCTGGAAGCAGTGCCTCTATGACTAACATATTTAAGAGAGGAAAACAAAACCTTCAGTGGAGTGGGATGTAGGAGAGACAAGGCAGGCACCAAGGTCAGTGAGGAAAGGTGGGGAGGAGGTGGCTGGAACTGAGGTTCCCTGGCAGCCTGTGGGTAAGGGGGCGGGCGTGGCAGCCATGGAGGGTCACACAGGAGCAGAGACCCACCTGCAGCCCCGGAAGGACCCCAGCCGGATCAGGGGCAGAGTGTGAGGATCCTCCCCTGAGGAAGTGTGATGGACTGATCACAACACCCATTCGCTGACCCCCTGTGCTGCCGGCAGGGAGGAGATGGAGAAATGGGGAGCAAAGCAGAGCCTGGGAAGAAGTGAGAAGTGGAGGGAAAGGTTTTTAAGATTTGGTTTTATTTCTCTTTATATCTCTTTTACTCTGATTAAATGGGGAAAACAATTTAATTTGTTACCAAGGTCGAGTCTGCTTTGCCCGTGACCATAACTGGCGAGCGATCCCTTCCTATATTTTCTCTTCCCCATCGTACTCTGAGAGGAGGGGGAGTGAGTGGCTGTATGGTGCTCAGTTGCTTTCTGGGCCTAAACCACGACACTTGCTGCTTTGAAGAACACAATCTATGATGATAAAAAGAGTGTCTGTTGGGGGGAAAAAAAAAAGGCAAAGTTTTGGTTTTGAAGGGTACAACTTGTCTGTGTTCTGATGTGATTCTTCTGTGTATGCAGAGAGATGTTTTGTTTGCTCGTGCAAACTGGGCCCATGGGCACGCTTGGCTGAGCTGTGTTCCTCACTCTGCTACTCACATCACCAGGTTTTGAATTGATGCATTTCCACTTGTCTTCCTTTGTATGACTGCGTTGTGGGGAAACAGACTGCTGTCTCCTCAGCTTTACAGTAGGGGTAAAGTGTGGGGAAGGTGTTAGTGTCAAAGTAATTGTGAGCTGTAAAACAGAGAAGGAGGAGAACTGGTTAAACCAGTTGTGTGAGTGCTAAGAGTCCTGTCACAGCTGCAGTGACAGAAAGCTTTCCACATGCCACACTAGATGTGTGGCAGTTTCAGGAGATGGCTTGTTATTCAAGGTATGCAGGCAGGCTTGGGCTGGGCTAATCTCACAATGGACCTTTGAGAAGTTCCTACCCTGGGCGATTTAAGTTGATTCGGTAGAGATTATTCTCCTGTGGCCTAGGCAGCCGAAGGGACATACGCTGTGAGGGTGAGACAGACATCACATGGAGGGGACTGAGGAGCAAGATACTTTTGCCACTCTGTTCAGATGATGGCCAACCAGGAGGAAGGAGCAGAGCAAAAGATTGAAGGTAGAAGCTCAGCAAAAGGGTGCAAGGTCAGCCAGCACTCACCTTGCTCTTTGGTGTCGCTCAAGATACAGTATGCTGACCTACCATGATTTGCTGTCATGTAGAACACCTGATCTGCTTGAGTCAAGTTTTGCCTTTTGTGATTGCTTGTGATGCTTTCTGAGGACATTGTATTTTTCTAAGAGAGTGATACCATAACCTTACTACTTCCCTGATTTTTGGAAGAGTCGCTTATAAGGATGGGTAAGATAATAGAAGATGGATATAAAACCTGGAAAGACATGGAGATGCTATCAAATATGTGTCTGGTCTCCAAATATTTTGTGGGACTCAATGTATTTGTATGTTTGATGTGAAAGAGTCAAACATATGCATGTTTCATTTACTGCTAGGCTGGCAGTGGTGATCGGTTTAAGCTGCTTTCACACAAAATCTTTTGTTTACAAAGCAGGAGCCCATTCTTTAGTTTTCTGTCTCTGGCTTTACAAAGGAGGTATCTGCTATATTCACTTGCCTGAGATAGGCACAACAAAATTCGGGTATTCAAGAGACATTTGAATATCAAGATGAACATGAAAACTAGTACTAACCAGTGGCAGTAGGGGAGAAAAAACCTGTGCTTAGGTCATGAACAGATTCAGATAGATTTTCACACATAGAGCCAAAATCCAATATATTGAAATCAGACTGTGAACATTCTATTTGGTAAATTATATTCTGTGTACCACTGAAAATTAGAGTAGGTCTGCAGGGAATACTGAATCATCATAATTTACTTTTCATGCCTTAACAGATTTGTATAGTCACTACTCAAATTCCCCATGCATTTGATACAAAACCTATGCTTATATTTATGATTGATATTAAGTGGAAGATGATATGGAGTTGGTGGCATTTTATTCCTCTGCAACTGAGCTATGCAAATAATTGTATTTCTGCTTCCACATTGATTAATCTTCCCCTAATACCAATTCACAGTATTATTTACAGGAGGAAGTAACACACTAAGATGAAAACATAGTGCCCTTCCCAGTGTGTCTTAACAGGGGTGTATTTTTTTGCCTGTTGCTTTCATATGAAGAGAAACACCATCCGGTTTGCTGGCTGGACGGGAGATTCTGGATATGGTAACCAACACGAAAGCTCGCATATCTGATTTTGCCACTTTTCTTGTGGGAGTGGTGAATTGCAGCAGCTGGGCAGTCATCAGCAGCTTTGAGGCGGCAATATATCAAATCCCATATTTTGGGTTTTATAACACTGTAGAAAGTACTTTAGAAAAGGCTTAAAACAAGACAGAAAACCCCTCTGATCATTCCAGAGAAAATGTCAGCAAGAACTTAAGACTAGAGAAACTGCTATAGAAAAAAATTATACCTCAGCCTCTACAGCTGAGTGCGTGGGTTATAAGCTACCTGTGACAAGAAGGAACAGATACCAGAAGGTGAATTTCTCTTCCTTCCTAACGACATCATTTGCAAATTATCTTATGTTTATTGATTGTGTTAAATGCAGCAGTCTCAAAACATTGGGGTTTTTTAACAGCTTTTTTATTAAGTAGGAACTAGTGTGCTCTGCTCCTGTCAGACCGAATGCTTTTTCTTGCAGCTATTAATTCTCTTTGCTTGCAGATTGAGATCGTCAGTGGGGGTTGTTTCTTTTCATTATTTTAGAATTACACTAGTACATTGTGAACTTTACACTACTAGCAGAAGTTGTCAAAAAGCAGATAGGTACCAAAACAGCAGTTGTTTTGGCTGCACAAACCAAGTAGATGGATTTGTTGGCTCCAGTGTTGACCTAAGCATAAATCCTTTGATGCAAAGGGGAATCAGAGTTTCTGTTAATATCGGAGATGTGTTTGTAAAATGGAGAGTCCTTTTAAGTGTTTCATGCTGTATGTAAACTCTCACATTGATCATCTCTGTTCTCATTTGTAGCTTTCCTTACCATTTGCTTTCTGGTCCCTATTGATTTGTACAGGTCTAGTGGTTGTAGCATTGAGTGTTTTGCTTTGAAACCAAAAAGGAAGAGTGGTTTGCTTGTTACTTAAAAATGCGTAATAGTAATTTGATGATTTGTGACTGTTGTTCAGTTGTGACATGTTCCCTTTCATACATTCAGCCTTATGCTCAGTTTTCCTTATGCTTTCCTCTTGTTGATTAACTGGCAGTTGCAGCCCAACTGTTGGTTTCAGGCACTAGTGTTAGGTGTTTTTGTTTGATGGTATTGCCTGGTAGAAACAGCTGAGCTCAGACAGCTGCTTTTTTCCTTATCTGATTTTTAATACCTGATAATGAAAGGTGATAGTGGTAGCAATTAGTCACAGACCTAATGGGATTCGTGTATCCTTCTGTTCTAACACTGTAAGCCACGGTACTAAGTGTTGGTTAATGAGGCAGGGATCTGAAGGAGCAGAGCCTGGCAGCACACAGGGTTTCCTTTCAGACCAGGTCAAAGTGCAGGGCCTGGAGCGTGTAGCTGAACGACTCAGACTGTGTATGAGAATGAGAAAGCAAGTATGAAAACAAGCTTGGTGTTGCAAGATGGCAAGGTTACTGCTTCCTTTGAGATAATTGTTGGAATGGCAGAGTTGAATTGGCAAATGAAAAATTTGCCGTGTTATTAAATAGTATAATTTATCCAGTTTCGGGGATAGGCTTGTATCTAAAAGTTAAGACTGCTGTAATGAAATTCTCCTAATGGAAATGATATGATAAGGGTGCCTTGTGCTTGCTAAAAATGCCAGCAGTCTTTCCAGACACCTGACCATCTGGGATTCCGGAAAAAGAAGATAACAGCATTATACTCAGGCTCTTCCCTAAGTGTTCTAGCTATTTGGATCTCAAGATGGTCTCCTTCTAGAAGAATACTTTATATGTAGCTTTTCAACTCCTCAAACATTTGCTCTGTGAGCTACTTTTTGACAGACCAGATCTGCTGCAGGCCATCTGTGCTCTTCCAGAAAGGGGTTTTGGCTGCTTGAAAGCAGATGGGAGAAGACAATCTCACCCCCATCCTCCCCCAACCCTTTCCTTCCTTTAGGTTGCTGGGTACAGATACGTTTTGCTGTATGGGTGGTGAGGACGTGACAGTAAGGAAGTTATATATTTTTTCTGGATGAGGGAGTCTCCCTATGTTGTAAAAATTAGTAAGTCAAGGCATATTACTGCTTTCAGATAGTGTATAGGAAAATGAAAGCTGTAGGCTCTAGATTTTTTTGTTTCTTTGTTCTTTTATGTGTGAGTGTTTTTCAGAGGTGATGACTTGGACTTTTTGTGGATTTCAATCATAGAATTATTCTATAAAGCTCTACCCTTTTTTTTTTTTTGGTCTAGACATTTATGTCCCACTACTTCCTGTTTGCTATCCTCAATTGCTCGCCTTCTTTTAGAAAAACTGGTGCTAGAGCATTTACTTAGAAGTTAAGCTGGAAAATCAACAAATTCTGCATAACGCTTATGTATCTAAATATTCATGCCCTTTGCCTTTTACTTTCTAGTAGCCTTTCAATCTCTTAATTTTGATTTTTGTATATAATATGTTGTGTAATGTGAATTCTACTTCTAGATTTCCAAAGGAAAATGACAGAGGGATATTTACCAGAAATGCAAAGCACACTGGAGTCAGTCAATGTGTTGGACGACGTCTCTTCCAGGTCCCCAGATAATGCGAATTCTGATAAAACGTCTGGAATGAAGGACTGTTCAAGCATCAGTTATGCTGGAGATGATGCTTGTGTCTTGGAAAGAGAATCAAGGTGGTTGCCCTCAGACCAGGATTCAACAGTTACTGGCGTAAGCAGCAATGGGGCCCTGGCAGAAAGCCAGGAGCAGCAGTGTGGAGAGTCAGACTGCTGTGCGTCTACCTGCTCTGAAAGAAAGGTAGAAGGCTCCACAAAACCAGAACATGCATGTAGTGAAGAATTTGAACAACAAGATCCAAAAACTAATCAGACAGAACAATCATTAATGGAAATATTACAGGAGCTAAAGGAGGAGTCTGACTTTGTGAAAAAATCTAGCGATAAAATCTATTCAGAAAGCCCTTACGACACAGATTGCACAAAGAAGCTTATTTCCACAATACATCAGACTTCCTCACAGGAGGATTTGCTAAAAGAAATAGAGTCTGAACTCTTATCTACGGATTTTTCAAAGGAACAGAAATTCCCAAATGGTGTGCAGAAGGGTGAACATGCCCTGGCCATGTTTGAAAAATGTGTGCAAGATAAGTACCTGGAGCAAGAACAAACGATAAAAAAGTGAGTATTTGAGTACGCTCATCACAAATGGAGGTGTGTACTGAACAGTTTTGCTCGTGTGTTGTGTGCAACTGCATACAACATTTTGGTTTGAAAGAAGCAGTCTCTTGTGAGTTGGTGTAAGGACAGTTAATGAGCTTTTTAATTAGGTTCTTTAAGTGAGGAATTATTTTCACTTGTACTTAGAAATAAAAATGTGTGCTTAAATCTCTGAATTCTTGTAGAATTTGGCAGGAGCTGAATAGCCAGCTGTTCAGTTGCATAGCCTGCCAATGTCTAGAGTTGCTTAAAATACTGTAAGAATACGATGATATGAAAATAGTCCAGGATTCATTCAGTCTCATATATATTTGGAGAAATGAACCTTTGTAAATACTAACTCTCACTATGTCCCTTTCACTTACGGGTTTGAGGTTGCTTATTTCCTTTTCAGATAGTAGTCAGTCTCCTGTCGTAATCCAGCAAAGTTGCTGATCAGTCTTTGATTTGGGAATGTCATACATAGATACACTACTGTTTTACCACATTATAGGAGTGCTTTTGGAATGCATGGCTTATAAACTTTGCTGTGATAAACTGGGATTAATAGTGCTACCAGGCACTTTATGTAAGGCACTCCAATGCTGTGGTATGGGAGGGCATCAAAGGGAGGGAAAGCCAGGCAGAGGGAGAAGAGATGCCCAAAAAGCACAGCGGGGGAGATATTGTCTTGCACTTCACCAGTTAACCTCTGGCAGAAATCATAAACATGAGGAAAGGCAGCTGGTGACAGGAAAGCTTGGGAACACATAGCTAGACATGAGTTAGAGGAGGAGTGGTTATCTGAAGTGGTGGGTGTGTAGATGGTTTTCATTCCAGGAGATTGTAAGTGAACAAGTTACTTGGGTTTTACTTGTTTACAGTTAACTCAAAGGCAGGTCAGTGTTTTCAGCCATGGACCAATTACTTTTTAAAGACAAATGTTTTATGTAAATATATGTATATATTATGTGTACACGCAGAAAGTGTTTTCTATAAATGTCTTTTTAGTTTTTTTTTTTTTTTGCCAGCTGCACCCCTTTGATTCCTGGGGACTCTTCTCAAGAGTGTAAAAGTGCTGTGAAACATTCTAAGCTTGGTCCAAAGGGCATTCTGGGTTGGGTTAATTTTGTCCCTTACTTTATGATCAGCAGAATTTATTGTAACTTAGCTCTGGAAATAGCCCAGTTTTCTCCTGTGATCAGATCTGAGACACATTGGTGAGCAGCAGTTGGGTGAATTAATAATGTGTAATCCTAGAATATTCATTAATAGATTATAAAAAACAGTTCAGAGGTGTTAAACTCTTTCAAAACTGATGGTTTTGAATCCCTTGTAATTTAGAAGCCTGGTTTGTTTAAAGATTTCTTTTTCCCCATTCAAAAGAGGGAAGCTGAAGATGAAAGTATACATGTAAAGGGTTATTTAAATATCTTGTTCAGGTAAGCACATGCCTCACACAAGTTCATCCAATTAGTGGCCTAAAATATCCACCATCTAACTGTATCTTTAAATACATTTCAAACTCTTGTTTATTCACCAGTTCTAACAATACAACACCTGAGTTTTATGTGTAACTATGTTCTATTGCAGTGCTAGAAGGTCAAACTAAATATGTGTCGGCTTCAAACAGCTAAGCTGCAAAGTAACAAACTATTGCTAAAAAACTGAACTTTGTAAGAAGGATGAGCATGGATGCTGTTGTGGTTACATACCTACTGAGGACTTAGAAAATCAGGGCTCCATTTCTTACCAGGTTGTGAACTTCAAGGGCTACTCGGGGCAATCCATGAAAGGTGCACAGTACCTGTTTTCAGATGTTAGACTGGTGGAGCTATCTGACTGAAGTTACTTGTCTAACAAGTACTGTAGATTTGTTAATATTTACAGTTCTGTAGTTGCATAGAGGTACCAAATGTCTCACTTCATCTTGGATGATGATAACCCCAGAAAGCTGGAAGCAAGCAATTTGCTCACATGATAGCTGCTGCTTGCTAGTTTGGAGTTGTTACACATGCACAGCGTATTTCTGGGTTTTTGGTGTGGTTTTTGTGGTGTTTTTGTTTTGTTTTTGTGGTGTTTTTTTTGTTGTGGTCTTGGTTTTTTTTTTTTAACCAAGGCTTTAGTGGATTTTACAGTGTTTCTGTCTGGAACTCCAATAAAATTTGTGGATCAAAGAGGAAAAAACATATATCTCAAAATTGAACAATAACAAACAAATGGTGTTGCAGTATCTTGCACTGAATTTATTTTCTTTTTCTTTTCAGATTGTTAAAAGAAAATAAAAAACATCAGGAACTGATTTTGGATATTTGCTCAGAAAAGGACAACTTAAAAGATGAATTGAAAAAGCGAACAGAAACAGAAAAGCAGCACCTCAACATTATTAAGCAGGTACAGATAACAAAACAGAAGTGCTGGTTAGTGTCTCATGTGGACATGATGTCACTATTGCCACTGTTCAACGAGATGATAAAAGAGAGAGAATTTAAATTACTAATTTCTTTTTGTCAAAGTGCTGGTGATACTACCCTAGTTGCCAGGTTTCTCTGTTCATGTCTGTATCTCACAAATCTGTTCTCAAAGCAGTGTGTCAGGCTCGTGCTGTTCCAGAAGAGTGTATTGATGTAGGTAGAAACTTTCTTTGGTTAATTTCAAAAGATCTTTGAAAATCCGTTATGTGAATGAAAATAGGATTTTAAAGTCTCATTTTTCTTAGCTACAAATTGGAATTGCATATGCCTGAATGAATCAGTATGAGCAGCTTGCTTGTTTTCTTGTCTCTATTTCCACGATGGCACTGTATGATTTCATGACGCTTATTATGCAGCAATATGCCTTATCCCATTCTGAAAAAAAAAACCCAATTGTAAGGGAATTTCTGTTTTCTGTTCAGATGAGAAGCATCTGTGATATCGCATTCTGGCAGATTATTTCAGATAATACTAGTTTGGAGTGTAATTCTTTCATATTGTAGCTGGATAGCACCTGGAGTTGTACGAAAGATATGTTGCAGTGAAACACCTGGGTTTTTTCATTTGTGATTCAAGTGTGTCAGTGTTACAATTTCTAAAGAGTGAAAAAAAAACCCCAGTTGTAAGGGAATTTCTGTTGTTTTCTGTTCAGATGAGAAGCATCTGTGATATCGCATTCTGGCAGATTATTTCAGATAATACTAGTTTGGAGTGTAATTCTTTCATATTGTAGCTGGATAGCACCTGGAGTTGTACGAAAGATATGTTGCAGTGAAACACCTGGGTTTTTTCATTTGTGATTCAAGTGTGTCAGTGTTACAATTTCTAAAGAGTGCTTCCTGGTAGCTTTCAAGGCAGTGAAAGCTTGGCTGCACTCAACTGCATGTCAGCTGTACGGGCATGCTTGTATGTGTAAAACTTCAGTTTTGTATGGGCAGTGATTTCTTTGCAAAGCTGAAGAGGGTGTGATAATTCATGTGTGGCAACGGTAGCGTTTTAGGTTGTTCTTGTCTTTTATGTAGCAGTTTGGAATTGCACAAAAATGCAAGATACTAAACCTGAGATCTTGTACGTTTTTATACCCCACCCATCCTTGAAAACCAAACCAACCAAAGCTTGGTGAATTGGCTTTCCCTGAACAAGAGGATAGTCATTAAGGCACAGTTTGAACAGCCTTTGGGCAGTGTTACAGCTTCTGTAGCCACTGCTTGCTCTTCCACTAGTGCTGCTGCTTCTTCCACTGAACTTGCGTGACTGCAGTGAACACGCTCTGGGAAGGGTTCCAGTTGAACGTTGGAGTCTTCAGCTGGATCACGTCTCTGACTTGGTTTGCTAGGCAGTTAAAAAAGGTGCCAGCACAATGACTAAGTGCCTCTTTATTTGCGGAGTTATTTTTCAATGAATTAATTCCCAGTCCAGTTCAGTGTAGATGCATGACTGCTTCGCTGGCACGGTGGAGCATATGGCACAGGAATAGTAACAAAAGGGTGTAAGGTGCTACAGCTTCAGAGAGCTGCCAGCTCTGCTCTGGCATTTGCTGTCAATCTAAATTTTCATGTAGTAAATTACTGTGCCTTGTGCTTTACTTGATTTGATGCATCTTCAGTCTCGCTGAAGATGACAACTGGCATCTTTCATGCTTGTACTATAATGCAAAGCTGGATGTTGATATAAATACTTGCAGCTTGACAAGTGTGAAATACAGATAAATATCTGTTGAAGCGCCTAATTTTGTGTGAAATGTTCCTGCTTGTACAAAACATGATCAAAGTCTTATTTTCCCTATAATTATATCATAATGTTGTCTTTTAGCTGGAAGCAAGAATGGAAGAGCTTAATAAAGAAGTGAAAGCGAGTAAAGACAAACTTTTAACTCAAGATGCAGCAGCCAAAAATGCTATTCAGCAGTTGCATAAAGAGATGGCCTTTCGAATGGAACAGGTAATCTGGAAAACCTTTAATTATTGAATATATTATGAACAAACTTGGTTTCTCTTAGGAAACATGTAGCCTAGGTTGTTAGATCGCTAGGTAAGTCAAGATTTTCCAAAATTGCAACTACCAGTATGCTTTTGATATATGCATTTTTGATGTATCAGTGAATTTCTAAACAGCTGTTAACATTCTAGAGTCCCTGATCACTTTTTAATGTGTATGTAATTCAGCCCTCAAGGAAATCTCATTTTCCTTGCCTGTAAGTTGCTCTTGGTTCAAAAGGAGGTAAAAGCTGGCAGTGGCTTTTTCAGACAGGCTATCATAAAAATAATTTTCTCAACTCCAGCACAAAGCTCTTATTTTGTCTCATGTATTGCTGAAAGCTGATTTTTTTTTTTCCTTCTTACTATCATATTTTGCCAAGTATTTTCTCTATCGTGTGAATTCCAAAGCTCAGTGTGTAATTTTTTTTTTTGAAACAGAATTTATAATGCTGCGGTGGGTGTCTGTAAAAATTGCCCACTGAGAATAAGCTATCTGAAAAATAAGCAACTGGATAACGATTGTGCAGTTGATGTGTGGATGAGGGAAGACAGAGGACTGGATACAGGGTGTTTGCAAAATTATTTTGTTACTAAAACTTGACAAATACATTTCTTTCCTTCTGAAGCAACAGATTGTATTCCAAATTACTTATGTATTGATAACTCATTTGACATGTTTAGCTGTGAAGCTGCAGCTGCTTAGATGTATGTTTACTGTCAGAAGTATAATTCATTCCAGTACTAAGTGGGATCTAATGTTAGTCTTTGCAAAACTGGAGCTTTTGTGTCCTACTTTTGTTATGTTGCTGTACTGCGGTACTGAAAACTTCCAGTAATGTATCATAAAAACTAGTTATGAAATAGGAGGTTGATCATTCTATTCTAATATTTTTCAAGGCAAACAAGAAATGTGAAGAAGCACGCCATGAGAAGGAAACAATGGTAATGAAATACGTCCGAGGGGAGAAGGAGTCACTGGACCTCCGAAAGGAAAAGGAGATACTTGAGAGAAGAGTGAGAGATGCAAACAAAGAAATTGAAAAGCATACTAATAAAATCAAACAACTTTCTCAGGAAAAAGGAAGATTGCACCAGCTCTATGAAACAAAGGTGCTTTAAGTATTGCTGTATGACTTGAGTGAATGATTAGAAGTGCTATCGGAACAACCTTATCACTTGTTTGCTATTCTGCTCAGTGAAAGAAGCCTGTTTTCATTTGGGTTTACTCTGTAGCTGTGAAAACCCCTTTCCTTCAACGGATGGGGAAGCAATTACTGAATTCTCGTTGCCATCTATTTGAAGTTCATTTTAATATTTCCCATAATATTAGTTTGTGAAACATTAAGGTGGGTTTTTTTGACAAAACTGAAAAGGCTGCTTTTTGCAGAGGCCTGGATTTTGAGAGAATTTCTAGCTTGTTTTGATTCTTTTTAAAAGGCTGTAATGGCATTAAATTACTGCAGTCTTTTTTCCTGTTTTTCTGTGTTGTCACTGTGTATTTTCTCTTTTGTACTACTAGAAATCGGTAATAAAGCAATAGGATTTTGCAGACCCAGTTCCAAGAAATTGCCAATTTTTAGAAACCAGTAAAAGAGATTCTCACCAGCCTCTAAAAATTATCCAGTTTTATGTATTGTGCTTCACAGCTGTGCTTCATAATTCTATGTCATATGAAAGATCCCCAAATTGATAAATTAATGGAGTTCCAACTTTGATTTGTGTCCCTTCTGAGCAATTGTACTATGTAGAAAATGATCTGGAAAGTACATTTTAATAGAAGTCCTTAAAATTATGCTTCTGAAACAAAAAAAAAATCACGTTAGTGTCCTTGTTCATATGAACAGGAAGTGGGAGCATGACTTTAGGTTTCCTAAACAAAGATTAATATACCATCTATCCTCATAACTCCTGAGGATTACAGTAGAGCCTTACAGGAATTGTACTGCCCTCGTATGGTGCTGCTTTAAACTTCTTGGGGAAGATGAACCTATCGGTTCAGAAACACAGTCTGGAAATTTGTCTTAATGCAGTGGTTTGTGGTAGTGGTACGGAAGGTTACGCCAGCAGTGTTGTTCTGTTAATAGCCTGACTTGGCACTGACCTACGGGTTGGTGATTTGACTTGCATGCATTTTGCTGTCAGTGCACTACTGCCCTGTCTGCACCAGTATAGCTGGTAACACCATTCCATTGGTGTCACAATTATTGTCTGTAGCCTTGTATAATATACTGCCTTAGCACTTTGAACCTGTGTTTCCTCAACCTTTTGCCAAAAAAAGAAGAAAGAGGACGTGCAGCTTACCCAGGAGATAGTTATTTTGGATCAGAACTCTAGACTGTGCTTTGCCTTTTATCAGACGTGTAACCTTAATGTATATTAGCATTAATGCAGCCTTACCTTCCTGTTCAAACCAGAATACTGATGCATTTTTGCTGGATATGGGCTAAAGTGTTACTGAGCACTCTCAGGTCTGTGCATGCTTTTGCACAATCCACACACTAAGGAAAAAAAACAACTGCATTTGGCACTTGAGCAGGAGTCTTGTAGAAGCACTGGATGAGTTAAATTTATAAAGTAAAATCCATGAAATCTTCTTAGGATGGTGAAGCCACTCGACTCAACAGAGAAATAGAAAAATTGAAAGAAGAAATCAATTCTCAAGTTATCAAAGTAAAATGGGCTCAGAACAAATTGAAAACAGAACTGGATTCACACAAGGTTAGTGAAGTGGTACTGGTACCATGATATGAAAATACAGTCAGAGGAATGTAGTTACTATACCGTTTACTTTTTATATAGTTGTAAAGTCTGTTTCTAAAGTGTTTTTTGTTTAATTTGAATACCTGCAGCAAAAGTCAGGATAGTCTTATTAAAGATTTTGATACAGAAATGGAAATGGTGAAGGGATGTGAAGGGAAGATGTATTGAGGGTGGCAATTCTGTTTTTATCTGATGATCAAATTTTAATTTTTTTTTGTATTAATTAACTGCCATCTCAATTTATATTTTTTATGTCAGAGTTAAATCTATCTTCTGAAAGTGTGCACAGCACATAAGACTTCCTTTTGCTTTGCTTTTGGTGTTGAAACAAATAAAATTGCATAAAATAATAGTTGAATGAAGCAAGAGAAAAAAAATCATACTGGAGTTTTTGTTTGTTAATTCTTTCCAGACTGAAACAGGAAACTTTTATTATGAGAAATGCTTTTCCCAGATTAAGTTAGATAAATAGGTTTAACCTGTTGTTTATTACTGCTTTTTGTAGGAAACCAAAGAACGCCTCAAAGATGCAATGACAAAATTAACCGAAGCAAAAGAAGAAGCAGACCAGATAAGGAAAAACTGTCAAGAAATGATAAAAACCTATCAAGTAGGCAAATTTTCTCACAGGGTGAAATCAGTGTTTAGCATCCAAGTCTTCTTTTCTTCCTTTTTTATCTTAAGCTGTGGCAGGAAAGAATTATCCTGTGTGGGCTGCAAAGCTGAGATGAGTGGTTACGGATTCCTTTACTTGGGAAGCTGTTAACTAAAGGGGAAACTGTCTTGATTGTCATGCGATCTGGGGGTCTGTCTTGGCATGCTCAGAATTATTAGATATGTACTTGCAGAAAGCAGACTCAGTGATGTGAAAAGCTGTCTGTATGCTCATAAAACCAGAAAGGGGAACATAAAACCCCAGAACTGTACTTACATATCTTCAATCCTTTTAGGAGTCAGAAGAAATTAAATCGAATGAATTGGATGCAAAACTCCGAGTAACTAAAGGAGAACTAGAGAGACAAATTCAGGAGAAGTCTGATCACCTGGAGGTAAATATGTAGTGTGGGGAAAATACCATGACTTTTTAATTTTGAGAACTGTATTTTAAGCTGTTTACAGTTTTTGCCAAACGTTTTTCTTTTTGGCTTAATACTACAGCCCAGATGCCTGCATCCAGCCCTGCTTTTTGGAGGATATTTTTAGCTATTACCTCGCATGCACTTTTTATCATCTTTTCCTATAACTTTGGTTATAATGAGTATGAAGTAACTGCTCTTTCATTTATAAACATGAATGCTACTGTAATTTACAGCACGATTTCAGATGATAGGCAGGCCTTTGACGAATAGCTTGCCAAGATGTATGGCAGGGACAGGGAACAGCCTCTGTTCTGTGTAGAGATTTGCTAGCCTGAGAGCTAAATTCCCTAACGATTTAGTACCTGCTCACTGTTCATATATGCATATTCCATCTACAGTTTGCCTAGAATTTTCCTCAGGAGCTGTTGTGGTTTAGATCTGCACATCTAAAACCAGAGTGTGTAATCTCACTTTTGTTCTCAGTTCTTTTGAGAATAAAGAAGCTTTTAGGCTTTGCTTTTTGAATAAGTAAAACAAACATTTAGGCGTACCTGTTCTGTATTAAGCCCTCTCAGCTGTTGTGGTGGCCTGCATTGGCCTAGATTTTTTTTTTTTTGACATCCCAGGAGATACCACTGTCCTTTTAGATTTATCAAGGAACTTCTTACTCTTTAAAAAGGTGCATCATGCAAAAATAAAAGAACTGGAAGACTTGAAGAGAACATTTAAAGAAGGCATGGATGAGCTTCGAACACTCAGAACAAAGGTAATGTGTGCTGTGTTGGATTGCGCTGGGGTTTAAAGGCTTAGTGTTGTGTTTTGGACAAGACTGTATTCAACCTGTTTATTGTATTTTTAAATTCTTTTGGAATAAAGAATGTGGTTAGAGACTGGCTGGCATGAGACTAGAAGGGATATGTAACTGTGACTCTAGGTAGCTTGTCTTGGGGAGTATCAGTTGATCCATAATACAACAATGTTTTGTTTCAGGTTATGGACCTCATTTAACTGAAAAATTGAGAAACATTTTAGTAAAGATCTTGTAAATTTAGTAACTTTGGAAAACAAAAAATAGTTGTAAACTTTTCCTACCTGTGAGGGTAGTTTTGTAGGGGTCATACATGTGACCTCTGGTGAGGAGTATATGGTATCCATAACTTCCATAGATTAGTCTGCCAGTCCCTCTGTCCAGAACAGGGGTTTACCTCAGTAGGGTCTTAGAAAACGGGAGGAAGATATAATAAGGGGTCGGCTTGATAACTGGGGAGAGATGATGGCTTTGGATCCTGGTCCATTAGACTGATAAGTTTGAGTCTTTAGGACAAAATTTATGTTAATCACACTTGTTTAGTTTGATTTTTTTTTTGTCTGTTTGTTTTTCTGATTGTATTTGATCAGAAATGTTTGGACTATTGTTCTAACATACTTGGAATTACCAAAAAATATCACAGGAGCTTTATACAGCTATCTAGCCATTTGATCAGAATAATTCAGCTCTGAAGTTTAGAAGAATAAATAGTTTCTGATTGTTATCTTTTTAGGTAAAGTGTCTAGAGGATGAGCGTTTAAGAACAGAAGATGAGTTATCCAAGTATAAAGAAATCATTAATAGACAGAAAACTGAAATTCAGAATTTGCTGGACAGAGTCAAAACTGTAGATCGTCTGCAGGATCAACATCAGAGGTACAGCTTTGCTCTTTGAGGAATGGTTTGAAAGTTTTTTTTAAATTATTATTATTTATTTAAAATATTGGTGCTTTAAAATGTATTGTAATTTGAAGAATCCTTCTTCTAATTTAAATGTTTCTCTAATGTGCATCAGTATTTCTAGTACTGGAGGCAACTTTGGCCTCCTACAAGACGAGGGGGTTGAGACTGAAAAGTCTAATACTTACATCTTTCATTATTAGGAAAAGTGCCTCCTTTCTGGCATACTCTGCAGGAAGTTCTGTCTTCTGGGTGTCTGCCCAGTGCTTTTTTTTTTTTTTTTTAATTGAAAGATTAGGGAAAAGCGACTGAACTGGAAAGGTAGATTGCTTCAAAATGATGGTGGATGGATGAAAGCATTTAACAAAATTCTATGTATTTGACAGATTATATATTGACATAGTTTAGAACACTTGTATTTCTGATGGTCTGGAATTCATTCTGCTGTGTCAAAGTTTTTGCTCATTTTAAGAATGTGAGGGAAATAATCTCAGAAGAATTTGGTTTGTGAACACTTAGGGAGTGTCTGAGTGTAGTCATGTTTCTGGATGATAGTAGATATGGAGTAGACTCTACAAATGCTGTTCACTTCACTGACTGTAACGGTTGTGTAAATGGAGATAAGCAGAAGCACCCATGTGTCCCTCCTGTGCTTTTGAACAGTTCTTATTTATAACTGAAAAATATTTCAGTAATCATATGCCTTCCTCAGGGTTTAGAGAATGAAACATTATCTGTTTGCTGGACAGCTGTATTGGCACCGTGTCATCAGCCTTTCTAAGGAAACTACACTCTGTGAGAGACAACCGAAGTTTACACTTCGATCAAGAATATTTTTCACTTGGAATCTAGCCAAATTAATTAAAATGACTGTGATCACAGTGTGAAACTACCAGTGTGTTTTTTCCATTTATCTTTTCCTCTCAGTAACTGAGACATTCTTAAATATCTGTCTCATTCCTATTCAGTTTGGATCATTTTTTTTAACTATCCTACCCATACAGCACTTACTATCCCTGCATCAAGTTTCATATTGTCTTTTACTTTTGACTTTAACATGTTTCCAATACTCCTTAGAGTGTTTGATAAGGTTGTAGAATCTCAACTAGCGATTTAAAACTGGGACCAGTAAATTTCTGTTATCGTCTGTGAAAGAGGTTAAGATTCCAGGCTTGCTCTGTTTTTCCTATTGTGTAGAATAAATAAACTTACTGCCTTTCATTTTATGGAAGCAAATGGAAGGAATTTCATTTTAATTCACACAAAATCTTACCTGTTTTCTTGATGAGAATAGAGGAGGCAGGTTTCTCTAGCCTAGGGAAGAGAAGACTAAAGGGAGGCAGCCTTAAATGTATAAAAGGCCATTATAAAGGTAATGTTCAGCTATCCTTGTTACTGGAGGAAGGGTAAAAATTGAGTTTTGCAGGAAAGATGGGTTTTGGGTTGAATGTTGGGAAGAACTTTGATTGAGCTGGGTAATGATTCCCTCCCGTCTTGTCTGGTCTCCTTTATCGGAGAACTTTAAGGATAAGCTGAAGGTCTTTTTTAGGATGGTCTAAACTTTTAATTTTGGCTGGTTCAAGCCTGACTGTTAGATTTCTGTCATAATGAAGAATTAACATATTTGGAAATGTAAAATATAAGCATGGCCCTCTGGCGTAGGTTTTTAAATGGGAGTTGTAAGTGAGATATTTTGCAGCATAAATGGCTGGGAAAAAAAAAAATCAGTGCTCTAGTTGTTCCGTCTTCTGAAAGGTGGTATTAGCCTAAACAGACCACAAAGGCCAGGGTGCAATACACTTGATGTAATCCTTTGGTGCAATGCTAACTAACTTCTGTTGTCATTAACCACATGAACTCCTCGTTTCGGTAGCTGGAGGCATGTTATTTGTAATAATGGAGCTCTAGCAGAAGTCAGTTACTTAGTTTTACAAAAATATAATTCATTTTCAGACTGATCAGTGATTTGAATTGCCTGAGCCTCACCTCTGCTTGAAGAAACATGTTGATATGGGCTTGTTGGTTTAAAGTGAATTGAGCCTTCTGGTAATTACACTGTCTGACAGGCAGTTAAATGAGATGTGTGCCTTTGTTTTGTGTAACGCTAATTGTATTTTTAAATTTGAACATAAACTACTTCCTGTGAGAAAGGAGGTGAGGGTTTTTCTGCTGATGTTGGAAGGTAGGGTTTTAGAAAGGTGTAGAAAATCCTCTGATTGAAGAACTAATGAAATAATTATTGCAAGCACAAATGAGAGGAGACCCTTTTAGTCTGTGACTTTAATTCTGGAATTGATTTCAATTGCATTCTCTAGAATGTTGATCATAAACGAAGTTACTGTCACTCAAAACTCTCCTAATGGGAGTGCTTCAGTAGAAACAAGAACTTGTTTTGTGGAGACTGGGGAAGGGATAGTGGAGTAAGACAGGCCCTTTGAATGGGACCTGCACCGCTTGGATAAGGATGTTCTGGAAGTCACGGTACTGCTGTCCTGGAGAAGCTCAAAACTGGAGTATTTCCCCATCTCTTAAAGACAAGCCCTCTTACAGAATGACCATTTTTGTTGGATTTGCAGAACTTCCTCTTATCTACAGCGCCTGTTTGAGAATTTTGTGTATACCCTATACTGAAGTTTATGAAGCTGAATACAGAGAGATGGTCTTCCTTGAGGAAGCTAATAACTGCATATCCATTTGCAGGATACAGATACCTGTCACTTCGGCACTGTAAGATGTCATGAAGTGGAATCTGCAAACTCCCTGGGCATTTAAAAACCATCCAGTGACTAACATGCCTCGGGCTCATTAATTTGTTCCTTTGCCTTATTTGGTCTTCATCTGAATGCTTTTATTTCAGTAAGGTTTCTTATCTTTAAGCTCAGCTTATCCCTAACAAGATACAATTGTTTTGACAGAGATGAACAAGAAATTAGTGCTTTAAAGGAAGAAGTAGATGGCTTCAATTCTCTGATTACTGATCTCCAGAAGGACATTGAAGGTAGTCGGAAAAGAGAATCTGAACTATTGATATTCACTGAAAAATTAACCAGTAAGAATGCACAGCTTCAGTCTGAAAACAATTCCTTACAGAGCCAGCTGGATAAGCTTTCTTACAGCGAAAGAGAGCTGCAGAATCAGCTGGAATGTGTTCAGCACGCTAAAGATGATCTGGTGAGTACAGTGTGCAGCTTCATTTTTGCACTAGTAAGATGCCCAATACTGGTGAAGATGTGGCACGTGAATTCCACCTTGTGTCTTTACTTACCTGACTGGAATTTCTCGCTGAGTTTGCCAGTTTGATAGAGTAATAGCAGCAGGATATGAACACCTCATGGTTTCCAAGGGGAAGGGAATCCTGAGGCACAGTGCACTGGAATGAGTGTGTGTTCTGACTTTTGGAAGCACAGAGCTGTTCTCTATGCATCTGTCATTGAAACAATCAAAAGACTGTAAAATTGTCTGTGAAATTTATCACTGTAAACTGTTTCTTAAGTCCTGTTTATACTAGGAGATATATACTAGGAGATAAGTAGAACTTTTAATAAGCTTAATGTGTCACGGAAAGTGATGTCACTGCACAGTACAGCTCTGCATGGCTCTGTCATGGAGATGTTTTGGAGATAGCTCAGGAGTCTTACTGCAGCGTTGCGCTGTGCTGCATAGTCATTTGCAGTGGTAGTCTTTAGCCTAAACAATAAACGTAAAATGTTGAATGATTCACAGGTGAAAAGTGCAACGTTAGGGCTGTGGAAGTGTATAGTATGGTTAGGCTAGATTTTTTTGGTATATGACTGAAAATAAAACTACACTTACAGGCCACCAAGTTGCAGAAAGAGGAGGACCAGCGAAAGCTAGAGGTTGAGACACTACAGGCTCAGCTGGCTTCAGAGCAGAAAGAACTAACAGCACTGAAGACCCACGTGGATGAACTGAAAGATGAACTGGCTACCCAGAAGCGCAAGCATGCAGCAAACCTGAAAGATCTCACGAAACAACTTCAGCTAGGTTGAAATTATTTTCAGATATAATGAATCAGCCTGTCTGTAAGCTCCTTCATTGTCTGGTAGAGACTAGGGTCCTGACTGCGTATTTGCACCCTGAGTGCAGCCCTTCAAGCTCTCCCTGTCGCTGAAGACAGTGAGAGCGAATTAGATCTTGGGGAAACTGCGTTTACAGGAAACAGGCCTCGCTGTTGATTTTCAGTCTTAACTATAACTTTTGAAATAGGCTTGGATATAAAATGAAAGATATATTTCAAAAGAGCTTGGTCTTTGTTATCATGTGTGTGACTACTGAAATGTCACCGTGGGTATATATGGATCCTGCTCTGTGGGTATATATGGATCCTGCTCTGTGTAGGAGTATTTTCAAAAGTTGCTAGAAGTTTCCCAGTTGCTGACTGTATCAGGAATTGCTGGTGACAGTTACTGTTTAATATATTAAATATAGCGCTTCAGTTTTTTAAGATGCATGTAGAGAGACTGATGACTAATTTTGTCAACAAATCATGTAATACCCAACATTGCCTATGCTCCGAATGCAAATAGATTTGAATTTAATCAATTGTTTGAAATGTATTTGAAAGAAGAGATCCTGTTGGCATTGTGCAAGACAAATTCCATGTCTCTCATTGTATGTATGTGGACAGCTGTGTACTTTCCCTCTTGATCCCTACGGAATTAGTGGTGCTCCTGGCACAGGTACTATACTCAGCTCAGAGTAGTGATACAGTTATGAGATCCTGGAACACAGTTGCCATTCTGTCAGTCAGTGGTTATTTACATGGCAGCCCTAATCAAAAGTAAAATCAAATTCAGGTCTTATTATTCCTAGTTAATCCTATGTATGACATTACACCCTGCAGCAGTTTCCATTTGAAGGGGGTAGGGATCTTGGGTGATGCTGGAGAAGAGAGGTAGTGTTTGGTTTTGGGGTGTGTTTTCCCCTAAGATTTGTAGTTGCTACCATCATCTTTCCTTTGTCAAGCCATGTTAAATTAGAGAGATTAGAGTTCTTGTATGTTGTGATGTTCTGTAACACTGTGATTTTGGGGTTTTAATCTCCCGTTGGTAACCATAATTTTATTATACTTTTAGCACGGAGGAAATTGGATCAGATGGAAAATGGTAATTATGACAAAGAAGTCAGCAGCATGGGGAGCCGTTCCAGTTCATCAGGTAATACAGCACATAGCAGGGCTGCCAAAACAACCCTTCGATCTTAATGAGGTTGCCATGATGTGCTGCCGTGAGCCTTGCTCTTTCTGTGGCTTGTGCATATGCAGTGTGTGGGCAGCCTCCCATTAAAGCTGACAAAATAGCCTTTAAGCACCAAAAATGCACTAGGCTGAATGCAGTTGTAAGTGCTTATTATGAAATTAAAGTTTAATGTTCATAATGTCAATAAGTTTTTTGCTTCTTTAAATATCTACCTTTTTTATTTTGTTGCTTTTATGTTTTGAGGAAGCTTGGAGGATTCCAGTTTATAGAGAACCTTCTTAAATGCTGCCAGAGGCAAAACAAAAAATGAGCAGTGGCTTCCAACATTGTTTAATTGCACTATTGACAGTTGCAACTGTTTCAGTGATAAGTCAATTAGCACGTTTAGAGGCATCAGTTTATTTGTGTAAAATTCATTATTCTCTGCTTGGTTAGAAGTGATTATCTTTAGCACTGAAACCAACAACTGTTTTCTTCCATAATATCTTTGGGTTTTAAGTTTGGGTAGTACTGTCAGCATCCCATAATCTCGCCGTATAAGAGGGATAAATACTTAGAAGAACAAAAAGAAAAGAAAGTATTTTAAGGTCTAAGTGATCAGTGCTGCAGAGTGTTTATACGCAGGGCTTTTGTCAGTCTGTAGACAGTTTTCATAGCCGTGTAATTTTAGTGGACTCCAAAACAGGTGTGTTTAAGATCACCTCAGTCTTGTACAAGGTGACATTAGTGACTGTGAAGGTAGTTATGCAGGAATAAGTGTTACTGAAGCAGGCACGCTTATGCCAGAGGAACTATGCCCCTGCTAGGGGACTACACTGCTGTTGCAGCATGTATCATTTAAATGGTATAAGGATTGTTTATATGTAAAAAACATTAACTTCTAAGGGAAACTGACATTCTAAAGAAAACATCCTGAGCTACTGAAATGTAATGAATACATACGCTGCACTAGTGGAGATGTTTTTCCTGGTATAAAAGCAGAACGATCTTTTACAAACACAGATGTATTGGCAGGGTCCCTTAACGCGCGCAGCAGCAACGAGGATCGGTCACCTGAGAATACTGGATCTTCGGTAGCTGTGGATAGCTTCCCAGAGGTGGACAAGTCTGTCTTGGTTGAAAGAATACTAAGGCTGCAGAAGGCACATGCTCGAAAAAACGAAAAGATGGAGTTCATGGAGGATCACATTAAACAGCTGGTGGAGGAAATCAGGAAGAAAACCAAGTATGTTCTGAGTTGTGTTCATACAGTTTTTCAGTGTTGAGCTGGTGCACGAGACAAGTATTCTGGATTTTATGTAAGACAAGTAATTTTCTAAATGAAAATATTTAAAATGACGTTAATTCTGCAGTGATGGTAGATCTCAAAGGTAGGATTAGTCTTGTGTGTTTTTTCCTCATCTTTATCCAGCAGTTACAGTAATTGCTGAGTTGTTTACTGCTAAAATTTTTCAGGAGGAATAGAATGCTGCAAGTGTGTTTTGGTAGCAAAATGGTCACCAGGTGGCTGATTTGAGGTGGACTGCTGCCACTGACTAACAGAAGAGTCCATTCTCTTCACGTGCTTAAAAGAGTGCTGATTATAAGTGTTTGTTTTGGAAGGAGAAGCTGCACAATTCCAGATGGTAGTCTGGCATGCATGTCAAATGACGTATCTGAGCCAAAGGTGGTCAGTATTTGTGGGAGACAAGATTCCACTTACATAGAAATCTCATCTGGCAGGGTGTTGTCCGGGAGAAATTGTCATATACCTCCCCCTGAACAGTGCAGTTGTCTGTTTGACTATAGCCCTTGCTTAACGACCCTATACACTTACTGGTACCATTTCACAGAACATGCTCACAGTTTGTGAAGACTCTTGAGCAGAGACTTTATAATTTTTGTCTCATCTGTAGAAAGCTTAAGATTCCCTGTCTGGAGTCTTTCAGCAAAGAAGGTTAAAGACAGGCATTTTTTAAGTACTCTTTTTTTTCTCCAGCAGCAATATTACTTTTTCAAAGCACTTCTAAATATGTAAACCTTGTGCATTGTAGTGACTCAGCTTACTAGCATCTCCTGTAGCACTTGTGGTATCCCAGGTTTCCCTCTGACCTCGAAATTGCAGGAGTTGACTTTTTCCCCTGCCTTTTCAGTAATTCAGTACTGCTTGAAAATAAAACTACTCTTATGTCAGGAACCTGAAGTTACTTCAATGTGTGACTTCTCACTGCCTTGTAATGCTATAATGTGTTTTAAATTTTTTCTCCCCCAGAATTATTCAGAGTTATATTTTGCGGGAAGAAGCAGGAACGCTATCATCTGAGGCCTCAGACTTCAACAAAGTACACTTGAGTAGACGGGGCGGGATTATGGCATCTCTGTATACCTCTCATCCTGCAGATAGTGGGCTCACGTTGGAACTCTCCTTAGAGATAAACAGGAAACTGCAGGCTGTGTTGGAAGATACATTACTGAAAAACATTACATTGAAAGTGAGTAGCTGTGGCACTTCTTCGTGTTCTGGTAGTTCTGCGTACTGCCTTCAGAGAGGCCTGCTGTTAAACGGAGGAGGCTTTTCAGAGTCAGCTCACTGTGAATTGGTGATGCTGATAGTATTGGGTCAGTCAGAGTTCTGTAACGTGATCCATGCTGAACCTCTGTTCTGGAACCCTCATTGTATGCTGCACTAATGGGCTGTTTCTTGACATAAACTCTGGGCTCTGTGTGCCTTCAGTGGGGAGGGGCCTTGCTATGCTCTCCCCATGACATGGAGACAGGAGCATGGGCTCTTCTTGCCCGGCCCTGTGCCGGTAGCTGGGTAACCTGCTGAGCTGTTGGGGCAGCATGCCTGCTGCCAGGGAAAGATGGCAGGCTGGAAAATGTGCTTCAGGCTGCCAAGTGGACTGCAAGTGTTCTGCAGAAGTTGGAGATCTCTTCCTGTAATTATCCTTCTCCTTAAATGCCGTACTTTGTAGAATATTAGTAACTGCAAAAAAAAAAAAAAAGACTTGCTGAGAGCTTTGCATCCTTTATTGAAATGAGCTTGGTTTCTCCAACTCTGTCTAATCATTTGCACTTGTTCTGGATGCTTGAAAGTATCAACCTGCTGACACAAACAGTAATTTGAACTTATTAGTGCATTTTTATACTGATTGACTCATTTTCCCTGTATAACTTACCCTATCCATTTTTTTCCCCCCGCCCAAAGGAAAACCTTCAGACTCTAGGAACAGAAATAGAACGGCTTATTAAACACAAGCATGAACTGGAACAGAGGATAAAGCAAACGTAACTAAAACTCCTATGGAATAACCGACATGAAGATGCAAAAAGGCAGGTGCTACAGACCACTGGGGTTTTTTTACATTTGTCCTGAAATCTAATTGCCTGCCAGCTGAAGCATCTGGTATTTTGCATATGCAGCCTTTAACCATAAAGGTTTACTCATGTGAGAGGTCTACAGGGTTTGACATCAACGTGCTTCTGTCTGCCCGACACCAGCCTGAGGTGTTGCTGAATTTTACTGCACACTACGTTTATCTAAAACTTTTATTTGAAATGACATACAGACGCTTTGCAGTGCATACTATGTTTTGAGCGAGTTGCAATGAGATTTTAATTTCTGCAGTGTAGAATTAATCACTCTTAATGATGGAGCTTGAAAAAAATGAAACCAGTTATGTCTTAGTTGCTGTTGAACATATCCAGTCTTACTGAGCTTTAAGGGCTTTCAGACATTTCCTTTCTTGCGTATTATTTCTGATACTTGGGTTGATTAAGCATTTTTGACACACGCATGGAAAAATGCTTTGTCACAAAATTTTGATTTTTAAGTGGTGGCCATGATATTGCACATTTTCTGCTGTAGATTAATATTCAGCTGGTCATTTTCTTTGTTAAAAAGAATTGAAATAACAGTAAAATCAAGGGATTAAGAAGCCTGCTGATTCAGTTGTTGAATATGTGTAATTGAAACAAATGTCAGTTCAACAAGTCCTGTAAACCCTTGATCTTTAGACAGAGGGATCTAAAGAAGTCTGATATCAGGTAACTGATTAATGAAGTTCTCAAGCTTTCTGCATAACTGACAGCTTTGTAAAAGTAGGAGTTTTAGCTGCCCACTGTTACCTCTGTACAGGTAGACATTGTGATTGCATCTGTTTTCAGATGGTCAGAAAATCTGTTTTCAAAAACAAATGGAAGCCAACTAAGTTTTTTCATTAACCCAGCCAGTGAAAGTAATGGTGAGCAATGGGAAATGTATAGGATTTTAATCCACGGGTTGGACTGAAAGTGTCACAGAAATTTGTGTGACTCCTTAATTTTACTGTTGTGAAGAATTAATTGGTCAAAATGCACAAACTGAGACCTGTTACTTAGTTCTTCACCCTGAGAGGGGGATGGAGGAAGAGTGGTGAGGTGACAAGATTCTGGTTAGTCACATCATGTCACACTGTAATTCCAGGATAAGTAATTTACAGGATCTGAAATTTCTCTATTCCAGCAGTAAACGTCTAGATTTCTGTATGTATTGCCTTTTGACCAAAATCAGTTGACTAGATCACAGTGTAAATATATACTTTGGGTTTTTATTAAATACTTGAACTTCTATTATCATGAAAAAAATCAGTGTACATTTACAATAGCAATGCTTTAGCTATTTTAATCAGAAAAGGATACTTGGCGGAGGGGAGAATCTAGCTTACTGAAAGCACCACTTGCATCATACACAAAACAAGAGGCCTGAATCTGGCAGCACACAGAGGGGTCATTTATCAAAGCATCGAGGTGGCTTGGGGGTGTGTATTCCATTTTCAGGTGCCACTGAGTCACTTGAGCTTTGTAATGAATGATGTTGAGTAAAAGGGCCTGATTTGGTTTGAGTGGTTTGATTTGAGACAGTGAGAATTCCTTTTTCCTTTAAAAAGGAAATCTCTGAAAGTCCTTTTGGGATCAAGACCTGGTTTGTGGTCCAGGGAGCTTCGGGAGTCTTGGATGGCAGGCCCCTCCAGTGTCAAAGCATTTGGTATTTCTTTAGGAAGGGGGAGTGGAAACAAATGATTTAAAACCTGACGGAGCGTTGTAGAAACTGAGAGCCTTTAATCTGCGTGTTTTTTTATACATATATTTTTCTAATTCCTGAGAGCAATGGTTATCTCAAGTGTTAGGGAATTTGGACCAGTCCAGTCATGGGACTGCCTCTGCTTTAAGTGACCTGAAGAGGGAAATACCTGGTTCTGCTGAAACGGGTTGTCACCCGCTTCCAGGAAGCAAACAGGCAGTTGTTTGTGACTGAACTACACCTTCTGCTGAAAGTATTTGGAACAATTTGCATGTCAAAACATAGCTTAGCTCTTGTATGTTTGTGTTTTCATGCTGTAATGTACCAGATCGCTGGATATTTTCAGGAATTCAGCTGAATGACCAGTATTTTAGATACCATGTTAATAGTATGTTCTTAATATATGTATGTTCTCCAGGTGTACAGTGTGAATGAAGGAGAGGTGTGGTGCAGATGGAATAAGTGCAATGACCTTGTGGAAATTCTTCTTTCTTTTTAGCATGGTTGTTTCTCCTTTTAAGTTATTTGAGAAACCTAGTTAGCTGTCCTCTGCCCAGCTGGAGCTCTGGCTTCTGCTCTGTAGCACTAGTAACTCTTTGGACTTTTTCTTGGTTATGGAGACACACAAAGCAGCCAAAATACCACATTTTTTTTATTGTGCACGGAATTTTCATGGTTCAAAGTCCTCTTCTGCAGGCATTACTTTAAACATGCCTGCTAGAGATGGAATTCCATTCTGTTGTGTACTCTGAGGAAGTGACTCTATCCGGTAAGCCCAGAATGTGATGAACACCTGACAGGGTCAGGCAGCAGCTGTGATGAGTGATGTTGCTCGTTCCTGGGAGGCACTGGTGCACTAGCCAGGAAGATGTTGCTGCAAGCCACCTGCCTGCTGTTCCCAGGGGGTGGGTTGTCTGTGGACCTGTTGGTGCATGGCACAAGAACACTCCTGTGAGAAGGGATGTTTCTGTGCGGTGGCTCACGCAGGTGCAGAGTGGGTGCAAGGTGTGCACAGCAATCCCATTTCACTTACCCTTGTTTTGGAAACCTGATATGTTAAGAACCTGAGGTTGAAAACTGTCCTCGGATGAATTGAGTTCTAGAGGGGAACTGATAAACTAATTTTGAAGGCAGCCTGGAGCAATTAGCTCCACACCTATCAGTGCAATTCAGTGTCCGTTAGATGTGTGATTGCCACAGGCTGCTTTTGAAAATTTTGAAAGTTCCAAGCTTGTACTAGTTGTGTCCTACAGGCTTCAACAGCTGTTTCTTAAATACTCAGGGTGCTCTTAATTCAAACATCGCACATCCAGATGTTGGAGGCCCTACAGGAAAGCTGCCTGTGCTTTTCACTCTGTAAAATCCAGCCCTGTTGTTGTCTAAAGCCAGACCCTCTGAAGAATGAATACTCTCACGCTATAGAAATCACTGGTTTTCTGCCACACAGACTCGTGCGATATTTGTAATTTTAGTTTCCAAAAACAGTGCACCTAGATTTGTTCCTCAGATGGGTTCTCATCATCTTCACTTGTTGCTGGCAACACCTGCAGTATCTCCAGCTACTGAAACTGCATTTTACTCTCTTGAAATGTTTTTTTCATTACCATATTTTGTCTCATAACGGAAAAAAAAAAAAACCAACCAAAAAACCACCACCATAAAAATCAGGTCTCTGGCTTCCACCGAATGGAGTGTCAAGCTGAGTGCCCGCGTGCTGCGGAGACCCGCATCTGGGACGAGGTTGAGGGTGGGCCATCACCCTCCCGGCCGTCGGTGGGAACAGCTGTGATGGCAAATATCAGCAGTAGGTGTCACTAGAAATCACATTTACCGTGTCTCCACAGCGACCTGGGACTTGTCGAAGGGCGAGGGCTGCGTGGCAGAGGGAGCTGGGTGGTTATTTAGACCTTTTCTGAGACAGCCGGGGGTTTCCTTCCCATTTTCGTGTCCTAACTGAAACCGTGTTGAATCTTCCGGTATATGTACGTACTCTGAATATACACAGAGCGTCTGTCGAGTTAACCTTGTAGATACCTGTTTCTGTATAAAGTTTTTGAAGATACCGCTATACATTATGTATATATTGTACTTTGAAATAATAAACATACAGATGTGTGAAAGCCCGGTTTGGGTCCGCGGTTCGTACCCTCCTCCCTTCATTGCTGCCTCGCTCCGGATTGTGCTGCCAGCTCGGTGACAGTGGGTGGTGGCGGCAGCAGGGCGCTCGTGTGGGGTGGCCGTCCTCGGTGAGAGGGAGCCTCTCCATCTGAGATGTCCTCGTGATGCCTGTGGGCAAGTAGGCTGGGCTCCAGGCGGCTCCGTTGCCGGCCTGGGTGCTTGGGGGGCACCGTAAAAGCCCCTTCTTGTTTCCTCTCAAGGGGAGGCACTGATATGTAACTGTAATGTGGTCTGGGGTCGGGGGCGTTGCTACCCGCAGCTTGGCGGGGCGATGCTCGCTGCCAGCCTGTGCTTCTCGCACGCCGTCAGAACAGGAGGTGTGGGTGCATCTTGCCCATGCTGCTGCCGCTCAGTCTTCGCAGCACAGCCCAGGAAAACAGAGCTGCGTCCCTTCCGTACTGTACTTCATCTCCTGGGGACTGGAGTGAGACTTCTCCACCCTACGGACGGGTGGGTGGGCTGCAGTTGACTGCTGTGAGCGTTTCCCCTTCCAGTAAGCGACCGTGATGCTGGAGCCCTCTTTCTCTCGTGTCCCACCTGCAGTGCCAGTTGCAGGGGCTGGTTCCCTTGGCCGCAGCTCCAGGTCGGGGACACTTCCCTGCTGCCCTGATATGTTTATTCCCTTGCAGAGGTCTGATGCAGCGTGGTTTTTAGCCCCGGTGTTTGCAAGTAGCCCTTTGGGATGCAGCTCCGTGCCCGTGTTTCAGGCTGGAGCAACACAGGGGTATTTGCAGAGGGAGGGTTCTGGGGGCACAGGAGCGTTGAGCACTGGGTCCTGAAGCGAGTCAGTCTTGTACTGGGGGTGTTGGGTAATAAACACATACCCCAGTGCTAGCAGTTTGCTTGTCTGGCTGACTGCAGAGGAGGAAATGAGCACTGCTGTTTTTCTCGCCCTCCCTGCTCTATTTTGAGGTCTTTTTTAATAGGTATGGTTGGGGTTTTGTCGTTGTGGTTGTTTTTAGGCTATTTTGCATTAAACCACAGTGGATCTGTGCCAGATTTTGCAAGATTTTTGCATGCATAAATGTAACTTGCAGGAGAAGAGTACTGCTGAACAAGTTGTTCTCATTTAATGTGTATAAATATGCTGTTGGATGTGTTTGTTGCTGTTTTGCTCTGGTGGATGCCCTACCGTCAGGAGATCCTCCAG